CCCCTGCCCCCCCTCTCCCCACTGCCCCCCCATCCCTCCTTCCCCCGTCCCCTCCATCCCCTTTTTCCTCCGTCCCTCTGTCCCCTCCATCCTCTGTCCCCATTGCCCCCCCATCCCTCTGTCCCCTCCATCCTCTGTCCCCGTTGCCCCCCCATCCCTCTGTCCCCTCCATCCTCTGTTCCCTTCTTCCTCCATCTCTCTGTCCCCTCCATCCTGTCCCCTTCTTCCTCCATCTCTCTGTCCCCTCCGTCCCTCCATTCCCTCTGTCCCCTCCGTCCCTCTGTCCCCTCCGTCCCTCTGTCCCCTCCGTCCCTCTGTCCCCTCTATCCTCTGTCCCCGTTGCCTCTTCATCTCTCCATCCTCCGTTCCCCCCATCCCCTCCTGTCCCCCCTACCCCCGTATAACCCTCCATCCCCATCCCTCACACGGGGGACTAGATTTAAGGAAGAAATATTTTATAATAAGGCTGGTGAGAGCCTGGCCCAGGTTGCCCCGAGAAGCTGTGGTTCAAGGGCAGGTTGGAGGGGGCTTGGAGCAACCTGGTGTGGTGGGAGGTGTCCCTGCCCAGGGCAGGGGGTTGGAATGAGATGATTTTTAAGGTCCCTTCCAACCCAAACTATTTTTTGGTTCTATTCTGTGATTCTATGAGCATCCCCGGGATGCCAGAGACCACCTTGGGTGGCTGAGTAGAGAGTTGGGGACGGGGGTGGGGGACCTTGGCTCTGTCCCCACCGTTTTTTTTTGCAGTGTAGGGGCTGTAAACCCCCACAGGGTTGATCTGTGGGGTTTGATCAGTGGTTGGGGACCCCTTCCCCATCCCTCCGTGATGTCCCCTCCAGCTGGTGTCCCCCCAGAGGAGGGACAAGAGTGGGTTAATGCCTTTCTTGCCGTGCCGAAGAGCTTAACTCCCTTCCGGATAGGAGCTGGGGCCAGATAGTAAATAAACTGAGTAATGCTTAGTCCTCCTCCTGAGCCACCTGCTTGCAGCCCAGCAGATGCACCACCAGCCCTTTGCCCCCAGAACCTCTCCCTCTCCTCTTCATCCTGCTCCAGCTGTGGAGACCTTGCCCGTGTCCACCCTCAACATCCCCCCCCAGGGCTGTTTTCTGGCCGTTTTCATCATCAACAGGGTTATTTTTCACGTTTTTTGCAAAGCCAGCTCCCCTTCCACCTCCCTCCCCGCAGCCATGGGCTGTTGGGCTCCAAATTTGGGTCGGAGTGGGCTGAAAACAGGTCTTGGTGAGGTTGGTGGGGTCTTAGTTCTTGAAGCTGGAGCTCGGTGGGGCATCTAAGAGGGCTTTGGCAGCCTGGCTTTGCTGTTTCTGCCCTCTTTGTCCTTCTCCATCCCTAATAAAGCGCAGCATTTTAATTCTGGACCTTGGGAAATGGCAGAGCTCGGGGCTCCAGCTGATCTCAGCTGCTCCAGCATCACTCGGGTTTCTCCTCCGTGCCACCAAGGCAGGAGCAGAGAGCAGAAGGTTTAGGAGAGATGTGGATGCTGCCCTTGGAGACACCCCCAACCCCCTTTCCCACCCCCCTCCTTGGAGCTCAGAGCATTTAAAAACTTAAAAAAGAGTTTACAATGGAGTCATCTGAATATTTAAGCAACAGGCATAAAAATGGGGGTGGGAATGAGTCTCCTGGGAGCGTGGAGCTGGTCTCTGGTCCCCAAAATGGCAAGAAAAAATAATATATTGCATCTTCTGCGACCAGCTGGGCACACAATGGTTTTAAACAGCACCCAGGGGTCTCCTGCTACAAATAAGGCAATGGAGTAATCTGAATATTTAAGCAACAGGCATAAAAATGGGGGTGGGAATGACTCTCCTGGGAGCGTGGAGCTGGTCTCTGGTCCCCAAAATGGCAAGAAAAAATAATATATTGCATCTTCTGCGACCAGCTGGGCACACAATGGTTTTAAACAGCACCCAGGGGTCTCCTGCTACAAATAAGGTGATATATTTTTTTTGGGGGGTGGGCAGGGATCCTGATAATGCCCAGCTGGGGGAAAAAAAGCCCCATCCCTTGGGGTGAACCTGTGCCGAGGCAGCTCTTGAAAAGCTGGTACCCAAGCCCTGATTTTGGTGGTTCCAGCCCTGGGAGTGGGTGATGCTGCCTGGTAGCATCACCCACTCGGTTCCCAGTGAGTTTCCAGTCTCTTTGGCTCCCATTTTTACCATTATCTCCTCTTTGTCCCCCGAGAGCAGCATCTCTGCGTCGCCTCTCGGGGCGTTTCTTGATGGGAAGGAAAGTCCCCTTGAAGGATCTTAGTTTGGATGAGCAGAGCAGTAGAGTATTTAAGTAGTTGGGAGAAAACTTTAAGTAGAACCAGCTCTCATGTAGCATTTAAAAAAAAAAGAAAAAAAAGCCACCTGCTGTGTTTCTGTGCCTTTTGTTCTCAGCAACAAAAAACTGCAGGGAGAAGCACTAACTTAGTGCTAACTCAGGAGCCCAAAGAGCCATCTCACTTCTCCCTAAATACCTGTATTTTGTGGGCTAAAAAAACCCCAAAAAATAGAAGTGTTGGCTTGCTCACGGTGGTGAGATCTTCGAGAGTTGTCTAGGAGATGCCCGGGGGGCAGAAATGTTGAGTCAGAGGAATCCATATTTATATAGTGACTTTTCTTCCCGTAACCACACTTCTAATTACCAAATATTCATTAAAGGTCACAAGCATTGTTTGTGTTCCCGGTTATTTTCTTGCATAAGCTGGAGCAGCTCAAGGAAAGAGAAGACAGTCCCCCATAAGATGCTTTCAGGCATTGCTGGTTACAATCAGTGCTAGGAAAAGGCTATTAATGATCTATTTCTAATCAATCCAAGCTGTTATCGCTCAGCTGTTAACCTAATTTACATAACAAGGGTTTAATTCCACCTCCATCCATCCTCATGCAAACCGGGAAGGAAGGATGATGTAAGACAGGTAATTTGGGGGGGGTTAATCACTCTTCTTGCAGGAGATGGGGTATTTTGGGGGGTGGGGGGAAGGACAATGAGGAGCAGTAACACCTGGGAGGAGGATGTGGTGGGATGTGAAATGCAGTGATTGAGAAGACACCACCCCCCCCAGCATCTTGATATAGGGATGGGTGGGAGCCCCCAAGCTGGATGCACAAGTTCTTCTTTGCATTTTACCAAAAATGCTTGGAGGGGGGGTGGAAAAAGGGTGAGGAGCATGGCTGAGGGGGTTAAATTGGGGGGGTTGAGCAGGAGAAACTGAGGCAGGAGGCGTTGTAGGGGATCATCCCTCTGGTGTGCAGAAGAAAAAGGGTTTGGGCTGAGCACCTGCAGCGCCGGCTGCACTTGCAGAGAGGTCCCTGTGAGTCTTCTTCTTTGAGGGGGGGGGACATGGGGGGGAGAGGGATGTTTGCCCAGACACCTAAAAGCAACAAAAACCCTCCGCAGCATCCCCAGCCAGTTGGCAAGGGAATTGGATTCCTGTGGTGGGATTTCTCCTGTCTCTTGGGGGCAGACGGGATGCGTTTCCAAGCTCTCCTCTGCCAGCACGATGGCTACGATCCCCCCCTTTTTTTTTTTTTCCTTTTTTACCCCCCCTCTTTGCTCTTGCAAACGAGGAATCTGCCATCCTTGGCTCCAAGAGCTGGTAACGAGCGAGGACCACGGCAAAGACCAGATCGATCTGATTAAGCTGGGACTCCTCGCCTGACTTCTGTGGGTTTGTGGTTTTGGGTTGTTTTTTGTTTGGTTTTTTCTTTTTCCAGGCAGATTTACGAGGTTTTTAGGAGTGCTGTAGCAATCCCTTCCCTCTTCAAACCCAGGTTGGGTGCTCCCCACCCCCGGATCCACCATCCAAGTGACCTTGGAGCTAAAGCCAAAGCCACCCCGGAGCTCAGTGTCCGGGCTCCTCTAGGTTTTAGGATAAATTGCAGCTTGAGAAGGGTGAGTTGGCTTAATCCCTTGACAAAAGGAGCCTGGCCCCTCCTGAACCCATCCCAAAGGACACCGGGGTGGGATTAAAAGGGGATTTTTGCCAAAAAAAAAAGGGGGGACCTGAGCTGATGCTGCCATCCATTGGCATCACGGGTGCTTTTCCTCCAGGATTTGTCCCCCCCCAGCTCCTCTGGTGTGACCCCAAACTTTGTGGCAAGGGGTCAGAGGACTGGGAAGCCTCCCTAAATATTCCCCCTGGCCCTTGCACTCGCTTCCTCGCGTCGCCCCGTAATGTTAAACAGCTGCTGCCTTCCAGAGCCAGATTATCAAGGGCTTCGGTATGAAAGTTGGAGGGAGCTGGCTCCTGCCGCTGGGCTTGCAAACAGCAGTGCTGCTGCTGCCCTGGGATGCTCTCGGGATGGGGTTTTGC